TCTAAATTTATAAAAAAAAAAGATAAATAAATTCTTAATATTAATTGGGTTATAGATTCTATTAAATAACAAAGTATATTACCTTATGAAAAATAATATTAACATAATATTTAGCTTAATAAAAGTATATATAAGTATTTTAGTAATGTTCTTTATTTATGAATATATTTTTATATATAGATTTATTTAAAGGATTAAGTTTTTCAATATATGATGATAAAAATAATAAAAGTAGAAATTAATTCTTGAACTTTAAACAAATAACTTAAAGAATAATAAAATTCTTTAATGGGGAAATATGTGAAAATTATAAAAACTCATAATTGGTTATTTTTTAAGAAAAAACTAAACTAGAAAATATTGATTTTGATATTTTTAACTGCATATTGATTGATGTAATTAATTATTTTTAAATATTTTAATATATATAAGTAATAATTTTTATATAATATTTAATATAATAGTGGATTTATGATTCTATTTTTAATTAAGAACTACAAAATTAATTAAGCTATAATATATAATGACTATAAAATTTAAACACATAATAAAATTTAAATACACTTCATGTTTTATATTAATAAAATTTGTATATAAAAAAAACATAAGCAAATTGAATTTTTTTCATAAATAAATCAAAGAAATAAATAATCATATAAAAAATTAAAATCTGAATTTCCGTAAAATTTATTAGTAATAACTTATAAAAAGCAATATAAAGTTCTTTGTCTTTATTAGTTTTTATAGTATAATCTTTTTAAAATAAACTTATTTTCCTAATGAAAGTAAAACACAATAACAATTAAATTAGCATTTTATTATTTTAGTATATAAATTTTCCTATATAATTATATACTCTTTCCTTAAAACTAAAAATTTCTTTTATATTTTCTCTCTGATCTGCTTTTAAAAAAAGCTTAATATCGTCATAAATAATCTACCTGAAAAGTCTTTTCTCCTTAAAATTAATATTTTATTTAACTTTGTATTTAAACTAAACATGGTAGTATTGAAACATTTATTATTTAATTCAAAATCAACTTGTATGTTTTTGTTAAATTATATAAATGACTTTTTTATTTCATTATCAATTTTTAAATATTTTAAGACTTATAAAATAGTTTATATTCCTTTAAAATCCCCTTTATATTATCTAAACAAACTTAGTGTATTTTAAAATCGTATTTTTCACTCATTTATAGACAATCAATCAAATAATAAACTATTACTTTCTATTTTACTTACTTATTTCGAAAATTAAACGCGTTTTTATCACAAATTATTAAATTAATTATTGGAAGAATTATCTTATTAATATTTTTCAGATAAATAATTATTTATATATATTTATTTTTTTCTGTCTTTTTATAATGCTTTAGTAATAGTTCTCTCTATATTTTATTCAAATGAAGAAATTTTAAATCTTTTGAGAAATGCTTGAAAACAAAAATAATTATACTTTTATATTGATTATGTATTTAACCTGTTTAATATTAAACTTTTATTTTTATTTATATATTATAAATATCAGGTTTGAAAAAAAAAATAAAGTATACTTATTTAATTAACAATTTTCAGTTTTTATATATTTTAACACAAATAATATTCTTAAAGTAAATAAAAATAAAATTTATATTTCACTATAGTATTCTAAAATTTATAGAATTTTAAAGCAAAGATATTATTTACATCTTAAAGTGTATATTTGCATTATAAAAAACAATTACTATATTTCCTATGTAGCATTCTCTCAAATAAAACATAAGAATATCTATATTTGATTAAATTTTTAGAACTAAAATTAAGACAATTATTATCGTCTATACTTACTACTATTTTATTTTTAATATAAAAATTGTATTATATTTATATTTATATTTATATTTATAGTTATATTTATATTTATTTATTTTTATATTTATATTTATATTTATATCCATTAGCAATTTTTTTAACTTTAAAATTTAAATTAATTATTTGCTTTTTAACCCATTTAGAGCTTTTGAAAAATAAAAAAAGATGTCGAAGAAATAAAAAATATGTTCTCAAGAATAATTAAATGAATAAATCATTTAATATATATTTTTTCAAATTTTCATTATCTTCTTATATTTAATTATTTTTTACCATATTTAAAATTTATAATTAATATAATTATAAAAAATGTTTTAAATTAATAATGCTTATTTTTTTTATTTTTTTTTCAATATAATTATTTATATAAAATTAACAAGTTAACATATTATTTAGTTTTAACCATTTTATATAAATTTGTAGTAAAGATTATTTATTTTATTTATTTAATATATAATCTTGTTAATTAAACTAATATTTCGATTAACTTTATCCATAATAAGCATATTGTTAATTCATATAAAGTAAATGCTTATGTTGCATCTTAATTATTATGTTATATTAATTATATTATATTAATTTACTTGCAAAAGTAAGTTAAAATTAAACCTAGCATTAATAAAAATAAGTAAAAATATCAATTTACCCTTATATACTATTAAAATATATAAAAAAAAAATTGCAAAAAAATAATAATAATACTATCTTTTATATAAATAACATAATTGTATTTATTATAAATGTATTTGTTAAATCAATATTTTTACATTTGTTATAATTTTCTGAAACCTTTAAGTCATTTTGGATATACTATTTCCAAACACGAAATCGGGGAAAAATAAAAGAAAATTTAGTAAGATTTGGGTCAAGGAAAAAAAAATAGAATTCAATGTATTATATAATTATTAAATTTATGTATATTTCTATATTTTATAAAAAATTGTTTATTTTCTGATTTCGATTAGATAGTCTATATATATACACATAAAAGAGTATCTTTTTTTTTTCTAAAAAGTATTCAAATTAATTTATTTTATTAATTCTTTATTTTATATTATATTACATTCTTAAAAATAAATTTTAGTCTTAATATAACCTTTTATGTTATATAATCAATATATATCCTTACTCTTAAATTGCTTATAAAATAAAATATAAATAATTATAATTATAAAAAATATAAATAGGAAAAATTGTACATTTAAGAACTATTAATTCAAAATTCACTTATTTAATATATAAATTTATTATATGTAATTAAAGAAAAAGAATATATTATCTAATTTTTATCATTTATAAAATTTAATCAAAATTACTATTTTAATATATAATTTATATTTATATATTATATCAAATAAATTTAAATAAGTTTTCTTTGATAAAAAAATATTAAGTATAAAAAAATAATTTATATATTTTTTATTTTTTTAGTTTTAATTTTTAATTTTTTACAAATAATTTTGAAAGAATATTAAATTTTTATTTTAATCTAAAAAAAATTCGTGTACAATTTTTTTGTGAAATGAATAAAATAAAATGTTAATATTAAAATATTCATTTATAATTTAAAAAAATAATAATAATACAAATAAAAAAATTACATTAAAACTATTTTTTTAAAAATCTCAAATATATAGATATATATATATATATATATATATATATATATATATATATATATATTCATTCAGTTTTAAATTTTTACTATTTTTTTTTTTTATGGGTAATAATAGAATTTACAAATAAAATTATATATTAAATTATAATAAATTATTATAAATAAAAAAAAAATGAAATAATCATCACCAAATAAAGATGTATAAGAGAAAAAAATTAAAAATAATATAATTATTGTTAAAGATTTCGATAAATAACTAAAAGAATGTGATCTTAAAGGTAAACTAATCTTAAATCTTTCCAGCCAGAAAAAAAAAAAAAAAAAAACTTATATAATTAAAAAAAATAATATAAATATAATTAAAGTTATTTAAATAATAATATGTAGATTAAGATTAGAACTTAAAATATTACTAAGAATATTAAAAAGTTTACTAAACAAATTAAATAATAATTGCATAATTAAATGATTATTAAAACGAAATATAGCAAATAAAGCAAAAAGCAGAAAAGCTAGAAGTAAAAAATTATTTATAAAAATTAAAAAAAACAAGACAAATTTCCTAAGGAACTTATGGAATAATTAAATGAAGGTATTTCAAATGAATTAGATTAATCTAGAATTATTTCAAGTAATATGTAAAGTATGAAAAAAAAAAACAGAAGATGTGCAAATGAAATTTAAAAATAATTTAAAGTTTTTATTTTTATTTTTATTTTTATTAAAATAAAATATATCAAATAATAGCATTTGCTATTTTTTATATATATCTATTTTATATTTTATTTCAATTAATTTTTTATTTTATTTATATTTAATTTTAGTGTCCTTATAATAATTGCAACAAACTATATGGAAGCGAAATTTCTTTGAATTTACATATAAAAATAAAACATAATGGAGGAAATAAAACAGAAAGAGAGAAACTAGTGGTATAAATATATATGAAAAAAAAAAATTAAAAAATTAAAAAAAAATATATATATATAAGAAATTAATAATATAACAAAAAATAAATGGAGTTGATGCTGTCGAACCAAATATAAATTTACCTCCCGATATAATTGAGGTATATTATATTATTTTTCATTATTAATAATTAATAATAATTAGAAAATATAAAATATTCCTGCTTAATAATAATTTTAAATTAAAAATGAATTATTAAAAAAAGAAGAAGAATGATGGTATTATATAAATAATACTTTTTCCATATTCTTAGTAAAAAATTAAAATATATATATATAAATTAAAAATTAGTTTTAAAATAAATATAATATATATATATATATATATGAATATTCAAAAATAATTATAGATCTTTTTTTCAATTTTTTACTTATATTTATATATAAATACTTTTTTTCATTAAAATAATGACATTTTGAAAAAAATAAACCCTTTAATAAAAAAAATAAAAAATTGATTTTTTTTTTTACTTTAAATAAAAAATCCCAAAGTTTTAATTATAAAATTTAAATATAATTTAATATATATTTTCTCATTTAAATAATAATAAAAAAATCCATCATATACAATAGCAATTCTCCATATTAAAATTATATTTTTTCTTTGCATTTTAATCATCATTATTATTTTTTTAACTTAAATGAACCTTATTTTAATAATTGCTTTGACTATCATCTTTTTCATTTTCTTTTTCTTAAATAGCCTAATTATCAACATCAGTACATATACTATTATCAACACCATTTTTTTTATTTCTTTAAGCCCTTTTCTTTGCTTTTTTGGCCTCCATTATTGCAATTTTTTTAGCTATTAATTTCTTTCCGATGTTAACAAAGGCTTTTTCTATACTCTCATTTGTTTTTGCGGAAGTCTCATAAAATTCCATTCCTTTTTTTTCCGCATATTCCTATACTTAAATAGTGTCTATAGTCCTTTAAGCATCTAAATCGCATTTATTACCTAATAGAATCAACTCAACATCTTTTTCAGCATAATTTTCAACTTCCTTAAGCCAAAACTTTTCTATATCCTAGAAAGACTCATTATTAGAAATATCATAAACTAATACAATTACGTCAGCTCCTTTATAATATGCATTTGTTATTGTCCTGAATCTTTCTTAACCTGCAGTATCCCATATTTAAAGCTTTATTAACTTCTAATCTATATTTAAAGTTTTAAAACGGAAATCTACCCCTATTGTTGTCAAGTATGACTCGTTAAATTAATCATCTGAAAATCTCATTAATATAGATGATTTTCCTACATTAGAATTTCCTATTATTACAAATTTGAATAAATAATCGTATTCACGGTTTTGCATTTTTTATATATATTAATTTATATAACTATATTATTTTTAAACAATTTTTTTTATATCCTTTCTTCGTATTTTCTTTAATTTAATTTGAAAAATTGGATATAAAAAATTAAATAATTTAAAATAGGCATAAAATAAAAATTGAGTTAATTAATAAACATATTTATTTTTCGATCAAATTAAATATTAAATAATACATTTATAGATGATATATAAAAAAACTTAGTATATTTAAATATATATATAAGAAAATAATTATAATTTACTATTTATTTATACTCGTATTAATATTTATAATTTATTTACAAAATTTTAATTTAATATATTAAGATGTATAGAATCTATATTTATTTTAAAGTAACTTTTCAAAAATTAAGAAAAATACTTAAAAATTATATATATAATTTATAACTATGTCGTGTTTTTAAATTCAAATTAATTTTTTATAAATAAAATTAATAACTTTAAAAATAAGTAGTGCAATAAAAAACTATAATAACTTAAAAAATAATATAAGAATATTTTTACATAAGTTATTTTTTTAGATAAAAAGGATATTAAATATTTAATAAGCATTAATTTTTATATAAAAATTTGTAAATGAAGTTATTTGTTTAAAAATATTTATTTTATTGTATTTATTAATATCTTTCTATAATATTTTTTTTAAATTTAATGTTTTATATTTTTTTTTAAAAAAATACTAATTTTTTCAAAATGCTTTTATTAAAAATATTTAATTTTATTTATAGAATTATTTTCTTTTAAAATAATTATAAAATAAATTTTATTATTTATAGATTTTTTCTCAAAACAAAAATTCTTTTAAAACTATATTTTCGAAAACTTAATTAATTTAACATAATTATTATAAATAAATTTGGAGTGATTCTTATCTAAACTTTATAATATTTTAATTATCTTTAGGCTTATTAGGTAATTTAGGTATTTCAACATCTCTAAAATCGCATTTTCTCAAATCACTATCAAGTTGTTTGAATTAATTAATCATTTTTATTTTTTAAGAACATTTAAATTCTCATTACTAAACTTAAACAACATAAAACTAATAATAATAGAAAATAAATAAACCAATATAAAAATAAAGTTACAATAATATTATTAATCTCTTTAGTATGTTCAATAAGAACTTTTACTTATGATTATTATGTATAGTTTTCTTACATAGAACAGCTTTTTTATAAATCATTTCTTGTTTTAAACTCAACTTTTGGTTTAAAAATAGTAATTTTGTTACTATCATTAGATTGATTTCTAGTTCTAAAATAAAGCAATTTTTTATTTGGGAGCAAAAATTCGTTGAAATATTTATTTTGATTGCATAAAGTATTGACTTATTTAAAAATTGGGAATATTTAGAAACTTTTTCTTTAATAATTTATTTAGTTAATTTTTATTTTTCTTTTATTCTCTCTGGTAATAAAGGAAGATTTTAATATTAAAATTAAAATAATTTAAACAACTCTTTAAATTCGTCATGAGTTCTTAAAGTTTTTATAAAACATCCCCTTTATAATAACAAATAACATAAAAGATTTAGTTTACTTTAATTTAGTATCCATCAATATAAATATCACATACTTACTAATTTTCAACTTTAATAGGGAAACTTTATATCTATTCCTAATTTTCGATTTCATTTGCACTTTCTATGATTTCTCCATCTTTCAATTTTTATTCTTAAAAACTATTATGATTAAATTCCAAAATATTATTTCTACAGATGATATTATTTAATTTACTTTTTTATCGTTTTTTTCATTAAAAATATTAATATCGGATAAAAATGGTTCATTAATAGTTTAAAAAGTTGAGGTTTTTAAATCCTTTTTTTGTGAAAATAAATATTAATTTATTATTTTTTAATTTAAAATCACGAAATTATTTCTTTATATTATATTGTATATTAATGAAATAGTAATGCCTATAATTAAATTAAATTTGATACTTTTATATTTTTTTCAAGCGAAAAAATTATATTTGAAAACAATTGCAAAAAATATATTAAAAGAAGACTTTTACTATTTATTCCTTATTTATTATATTCTATATACAAACATTAAATTGATAAAAGCCAAAAAATAGCTAATTTTATTTTTAAAAAATAATAAAAACATAAAAAATAAATAACTATTTTCTATACTTTAAAATGTGTAAAATAATATAGCTAAAACTTGAAAATTAGTATATAATATTTATTAAATCAAGCAAATTAAAGATAACAAAGCATTGAATAATGAAAAATATATCTTAACAATTAATTTTTTTAAACTTTTTTACATTATTTAATTTAAAATTTGATTATTTAATTATTTTAACTATAATACTAGAGATTCTTTATTAATTATTTTTCTAATTATTACTAAAAATATTAAAAAAGGAATATAGGTTATAGTATTAAACAAAGCTTATTAATATATTGGTACATTTATTTGACTATACTAAATCATTTTTCTTATTTATTTCTTTCTTTCTTTCTTTCTTATTTTTAATAAAAAGTATTAATAAAAAAATTAATCTATAATATATAAAAAATAATATAATTTTATATTATGTGAATATAAATTAATAATTATCATTATTTTATTAAAATATATTGATTTTTTTTATAAATTTATTTGAAAAAATATAAAATATTTTTATTGTTTAGTTATTTTTCCCATTAAATATTTAATTTTATAGTTCAAGCTTTTATATTGAAAATTAACTAAATAATTATTTACTAAAAGAAATTTTGTTTATAATTTGAAATATAAAAAACATAAATATATGTTATTTTATTTTTTATTCTAGTCGTAACAAAAGAAATTATAAATACTAATTATCTTTATTTTTGTATATAATTGGAATATATTTATTTTAGAAATATTTTAAAGTCTTAATTTAAATGTAATTAATCCAATTATAAAGTAAAATTTGAAAATTATAAATTTAAACAAAATTATTATTATTTTATTAATTAAGTTATTATATAATTGTTAAATTTTAAAATTTAAGAAAAATTTAAATTACCAAGGCTGTTATTAAATTTATATATAATGAATAAAAAAAACTTAAATATTAAATTATTAAAAATTGCTTAATAAAAAAATTTTTAATATAAAATATATATTTTATATATATTTATTATTATAATAAATTATTAGTATGTATGTATGTATTTATTAATGCTATAAAAATATAAAAAAAAAAAAATATATAATAAATATTATTATTAAATAACAGAAAATCTGCAATTTATATAAAAAAAAATTATATATATAATAAAGAAAATAAATATAAATATAAATATAATTATATATTTAATATTTATATATTTATATATTTATATAATTTATATATTTATATATTATATTATTTATACATATTCTTTTAATTTTTTTTTCTTCTATATATAATTTTATAATTTATTTTTATATATTTTTATTTAAAAGAATATATTTTTTTTTTATTTTATTGTTAATTTTATAATAATTTTAATATAGTTTCTTTATTTTAATATTTGTTACTATTTTGTTAATTTAATATATAAATATATATTATTTTGAATTTATTCATAAATTTTATTATATTAATAAAAAATATTATAAGAAAATAGAAATAAAAAAAAAAATTATTTATTATAATTAGAAAAATGAGTAAAAAGATTTCAACAAATCCAAAGTAAAAAAAAATCAATAAAATTTAATATACATAAAATTAAAAGAGCACTAGAAGCTCGTGAAAGAGAAAAACAATAAAAGTAACAAAAAAAGAAAGAAGAAGAAGAATAAAAAGAAAGTTAAAAGTGGGTTGAAACTGATAAAAATTTGTTAAAGAAATAAGCTAGACTAGTAAATATACAATTATAAATATAGAAATATTAAAAATATTAAATTAAAAAAGAATGAAAAAGAAGATAAAAAAGCTGAAGAATTGCGCAAAAAAGAAGAAAAGAAAAGATTATATGAAGAAGAAATCAATTCTATAAAAGATAATCGTATTAATTAAATTAATAATAATATTATCATTTTTTTTGTAATAAGGTTAAAATAAAGATACTGAATAAAAATTGACAAAAGCCGAAATAAAAAAAGAGAAGAAGAAGCATTAAAAAAACTTTAGCGAAAAAAATGGGTATTGATTTAGATGAATAAAAACAAATAAAAAAGAAAGGGAAAAAGAACACTAAAAGCAAAAAAAAGAATAATAATAAGACAATTAAGAAGTACAAAAGGAAGAAAAAAAGAAGACACTGAAAATTAATAAAATAATTAATATGATGAATCAGATGATGATTTAAGAGATTTAAAAAAAAATCCAAATCATTTAAAAAGGGAATAATTATTACAAGATATGCAAAATTATCACAAAGTTATTGATGCAACCGGATTAGATGATGCGATTGACGCTTTAGATTCTAATTAAGGAGTTAAACATCCTGAAAAAAAAGTCAAAGCTGTAAGGATATAATTATATTTAGTTTTTTTTTTATATTTTTTTAATAAATAATTTTTAGGCTTATGAAAGTTTTCTAGAAAGAAGATTACCTGAATTGAAAGCTGAATATCCTTCATTTAAAAGATCTAAACATATTGAAATGTTAAAAAAAGAAGTATTTTTATTAATTTATTATTTATATTTTTTTTTGTTAAAGTGGGAAAAATCACCATTAAACCCTTTCAATTAAAAAATTATTGATTATAATTAAAAATGATGATTTAAATAAAAAAAAATATAAAATAATATAAATATTATTTAAATATATAAAAGTTTATATAGATATTTTTCAACTATATAATTATTATTATATTATAAATAAATAAAATTATTAATATTTAAAAATATATTTTAAAAAATTAAATGAGAAAATTAATTCAATAAATATCTATAAACTTCATCAAAAATCCAAAATATAAATTTACTTAAGCCAATATCGAATAATAAATAAACGAGCTTCAATTAAATCTTAAAAATATCGAAAATCCTAAATCAAGTCTATCCCAAATAAACACTTTAATAAATTTAAAAGCAGAAAAAAATTAAAACAACTTTGAATATGAAAATTATGAAAAAGACTTATATACAAAAGCCAATATTTATTATTAAATGTAAAAATACACTGAATGTAAATAATTAATAGAATACATTTTATAAAACGACAAATCATCTAACATTTCAAAAGCAAAAACCTTAATTTTAAAATCTTCACTTTTTTAAATTACAGAAAATGATTATGAAAATTCCTTACTTTTTGTAAAATAAGCGAATGATATTTTATAACATGAAAAAAATTTATATTCATAAGAATTAAAAGCAACTATAAATCATATGATAGGTGAATTATATTTAAATGTCTTTTTAAAAATTGAATAAGGAAAAATTTACTTAGAAAAAGCTTAAATATAAATAGAAGATATATTGTTTAATAATCACATACTTCTAGATCAAGAAAAAGGTTTATTATAATAAAGATTATGCAATATATACGACTCTTTAGCTGGGGTCTATCTCCACGAAGATAACTAAGAAAAGACATCAGAATACATTAGAAAATCTGAAAATTTTTGGTTAAAAAATAAATTCAAGTAATAATTTTAATACGCAAATAGTTTGATAAAACAAGGTAATATTTATTTATAAAAAACGCAATATGAGAAAAGTTTAGAAAAACTTTAAGCATCTCAAAAGCTAATGTAAGGTTTCGAATATACTGACTAATACGTATATTTATGTATTTAGATTAGTAAATGTTATAGAGGAATGGAATTATATGATTAATCTTTAGAAACAATGAATCAATGTTTAGATTAGGTAAGAAATTTGGAAAAAGAAGAGAAATTTTTCTTGAATTAATTTTATATTGTTTTGGCTAAAGAAGAACTTGTAGAAGTTTATATGAATTTAGGTAAATATAGGGAAGCTTTGTAATTTATTCATCAATGTAAAAATTTCAGCATTTAAAATATATTAGAACATTAATAATTCCATTTTAGAATTCTTAAATAAGAATGTTTTATTTATTTTGTTTGTGAAAAATATAATGTTTTTTTGGAAAATGTTAATTTAGTTATTTAATTTGGATTAAATCTGTTTTCCTAAAAAAATAATGAAATTAGTGAACTCATCATTTGTTAATCTATTGCTTTTATATAAACCGATTAATTTAATTAAGGATATGAAAAACTGTAATAAGCATGTTCTTTTGTCTAAAAATATGAAGATATCAAAGAGATTTGGAATCATTTAGTAGATATTTTAATTTAGAAACAATAAAATTTGATCTTAATCTAGTTTGCTAAAGATTTTTTGTAAAATTTGAATGATTTACATATTAATGAAGATGATAAATTCAATATTAAAAAATATTTAAATTAAATTATTTCTGAATATTAAAAATGAGGAAAAATTGTATTTATTTTTATATAAAATAATAAATCTAAATAAGATAAAATTATTTTCGAAAAAAAAAGAAAATAAAAATATTATTTATTTTATGTTTCTTTGGCATTTTTTTATGTAAAAAGATATATAAATTTACAATTAATTAAATAATACGCTTTCTTTTAAAATAAAATATTTATTAATTAATTTAATTATCATATAAATATCTTTATTGGTTTTTAAAAAATATAAAAATGTAAAACGTCAATAATATTTCTTATTCTCTTTAACATTTAGAGGAAATAGATAAAGATGCTTAAGAAAATAATTATTATAAAGGAAATATTAATACATTATAATAAAAATAATAAGAAAATGAAAATGAAAAATCAAAATTTGAATAAATCCAAGATAATAATAGTATTATTTAAATACAAAATTACTATAGTTAATAAATATATAATTAAAATGATGACTAAACAATTTAAAGTTTAATGCAATTTTCAGAAGATAATTTATAAAATGGAGGCTAATTTTATAAATAACTTTTTGGAGGAAATTATCCAAAACAGGCATATTTAAATTTTTTAAGGAAAGACAAAGTAGATTTAACAAATAAAAAAGATTAAAACGTAAAAAAAATAAAAAAAATATTTTTATATCTAAATAAAATTATAATAAAAAATAGGTTGTTATATAAATTTTACAGAAAAAATAAAACAAAAATTGAATCTGATTTTTTACTTAAATCTATTGAAGGATTAAATTTATTTTAAAAACACAAAGATTTATTAAAAACAAAAATTGTAATAAATAGTTATTAGAATAATTAAAATTAGAGTATTTTAAAGAAAAAGAAACTATATTTAATTATGGTAAATATATATATATATATATATATATATATATATATATATATAATAATAGATAAAAATATTTTATATTAAATAAATATTAATATCTTTATTTATTTTTATTATAAAATAATTTATTTATTTTTATTTTTTATTAAGGCGAATATGGAAATACTTATTATATTATTTTATAAGGATCAGCTGATCTATTGATTCCTATGGCAAAATATGACGAATATTATAATAATTAAGCAAACAATAATTTTTAATAATCCAAAAATATTGATGAATAAAAAAAATAGAATAAAAACCAAAAAAAGAGCAAAACGAATACACTATATCCGACTCAATATTTTTAAGAAAGCAATAATGACTAGTATTTTATTAAAGTTTATATAAATATATATTTATATAAATATTATATTACTTTTAATCAAGGTTTAATTTTATGTTTTATTTTATTTTATTTAAAACTAAATAAAATAAAATAAAATAAAATAAGGCTATAATAATTTTTTTTTTCTTTTTTGTTTTTAAAATTAAATTATAAAAAATATATATATATATATATATATATAATTATAAAAAATAAATAAAATAGTTTAAATAATAATTAAATTTAATAATAAAATACTAAAAATGAAACTTACTAATAATTTTTGAAAAGAAAATTTCCAAAAATGAATTTAATGAAAACATTTAAAACAGGAGATTCTTTTGGTGAAATAGCAATTATTACAAAATAAAAAAGGTATAAATTTAAATGAAATAAAATTATTATAACTTAAATTAAAATATAGAACAGGAACAATTGTATGTAAAGAAAATACTTATTTAATGACTTTAACAAGAGAAAGCTTCGATGAAATTTTAGGGGCTTATCATTAAACAATAATTTAGAATAGGATCTTGTTTCTAAAAAACTTTGCTATATTTTAAAATATTCCAAATACTAAACTTCATATAATATTATAATCTATTAAAATTTAAAATTATAAAAATTAAAATACTATTTATTAAGAAGGAGACTAAAGTAAATTTTTGTATTTTATAAGAGAAGGGGAAGTCGAAATATCTTTGTAAATAAATAATTAAAGTACAACATATTAAACATAAGAACAATAATAAAAAGAATTAAAATTATAAATAAAAAAACAAAACGAATATATCCGAATGTTTATTCTTTAAAAAAACTCGCTTTTTGGTGAAAACGAAATTTTGAACAATATTGAAACCAGAAAACAAAGAGCTGTCTGCATAAGTGAAAATGCAGAAATTTTCCTGATAAAAAAAGATGTTAAAACATTAAAAAATAATTGTATATAAATTATTGACAATTTTTTTTTTTTCAAAAAAAATTTTTATATATATAAAAAATAGGTTTTATTGCATTTAACTAGAGGATATAATGTCATTTAAATTCTTAAATAATAATTTATTTTAAAAAATAAAATATATGAATAAAGACAGGCTTAAGTATTTTAAACAAAAAATAACTCAAAAGTTGAATTGGAAACTTTAAAAATAAAATTTAAGAATAAAAACAGGCTTAAATTTTTCAAACAAAAAATAACTCAAAAGTTGAAACTGAAACTTTATCAAATGAAGAAAATATTTTTTTTACAAATCAACAAAGATCATCTGTTTCTTTATTAATAAAAAATTAATAAAATAGTTATTCAAATTTTTACTCTTAAAAAGAAATATAAAATAATTCTTAAAAAGATATTCCTTTTTAGAAAACATAAACTAATTCTTAAAAATATATTTCTAATAAGAATGATTATTATATTTAAAAACCAATTTTTTAATTAAATTAAATGAATAATAAAAGTTAGCAAATATAGAAATTTTAGGAAGAATATTATATTAGAAATAAAAATAAATAAAAAAAAAGTGAGAAGCAAAACTTTTTAGACGAAAAATATATTTAATAATCAATAGAATAATTTAGTAATTATAGTAAAAACGAGTATATTGATAAAATTTAATAGAAAATTACTGTAAAGAAATAATTATTAGATGAAATAAATAATTAATATGAAAAAAATATTATTTAAACTTTTTATGAAAGTTTTGGAATTACTAAAAAAACAAAAATAGCTCTAAATCAAATTCCAGTATTTAAAATAAAGAAAAAATAGCTTTTGGTGAAAATGTTTAAAAGTATAAAATTAAAATTTTAAATATTTAACCTGAAAAAAATAATAATTAAAATATTAATAAATAATCTCAAATTATAATTTAAAATAAAACCTAAGAAAATAATTATAGATTATAGTCCTTATTAAATATTGAAAATAATCAGAAAAATAATAATTTATAAAATAGTAATTAACTATATAAGGAAAAATAGACTTCATGTAGTTTAAGAAGATAGTACATTATTAATAATGGTTATGATTAAGGTTTTAAAAAACGAAAAGAAATTCGGAAGTTAATTTTATATTGAAAATATTATTTTAATGTATAATAATATATAAAAAATAATAACATTATTACTATATTTTAACTATATTAGAAATAAAGAAAATATTATATAATATTATATTTTATAAATTTCTTTTATATAAACAAATAAATTCAAAAATAAATGTAATGAATAAGTTATAATAATAATTATAAATTATAAAAAAATTATTTATATGAAATAATGATCAGCTATTATATATATATTATTTATTATAACTGTATCCGAATCACTTGCGACTAAAATACAGAATTTACATTAATTTATATATTTAATATTTTTTTAATTTTTTAAATAACTTTTTACAAATTTTCATATTAAAAAAATATAAATGTACATGTTTCTTAATAAAATAAAGAAATTAAACAAATATAATATTTTTTTACATAAAAAAGTTTTTAAATATAATTAAATAGAAATTCAATATTTTTGTGTATTAATTTGGGTTTAATAGCAAATTGGATTAAATTTAATTTGTATTTTTAATAAAAAGTATACATAATTTTATATTAGTATATTAATATAATTTAATTTATATTTTATATTAATTTTTAATAATTTATATATTTTTAAGTTATTTTTGTATATAGTTGCATACATATTAATATTAAGTATTTTAATTACATATTAATAATTCTTGGATTTTTCTTTTTTGTAATATTTTTATTATAATGAAATAAATAAAATTTTATATTTTTGAAATTAATTTAAATGCAAAAAAAAAAACGCAAGAATTTTATTATAATTTTAAAATCAATATTTTTTTAAAATAAATATAATTAATATGGATATGCTTTAATTTAAAACTGTTTTTTATAAGAACATTCTTATTAGTTTTAGAAGTAGGGATATTTTAAAAGAAACAATTTTGCCTTTGTTTGCTGGATTATTATTATTTTTAACGAGTAATTTATTTAAATCATTTATTTTTTACTAAATAAAAAATAAATTATCATTTTTAAATTCTTAATTTTTCTATTTAATAAAAAAAACTTCATTTAATATTAATAAAAAAAGAATACATTCCATAAATATAACCTATGTCAGTACTTTTAGTTCCAATTGCCATATCGGCAATAAGTAGATCAGTATTAATATCTACAGTTGAAGAAAAGTAAGAAAGATATAAAGAAACTTAAAAAGTAAGTTAATTTATATACACATAATTTTTATTAATTTAAAAAAAGATTATGAGTTTAAATTAATCATCTTATATTTTAGCTTGGCTATCTTCATCATATTTTAGAACTATTTTAGTAAATAAAAAAAATATTAAAAATTAAACATTTAAAAATAAATCAAGTGTTCAATATCATTCTTAATTGTCCCAATAATAGCTGGTATAGATGGTGTAAAAGATGCTCATAGTACAGTAATCTTTGTTATTGGATTTTTCGCTTATAGTATTTCTGCTGTAAATTAATCTTTTGTACTTTCAACTTTTTTTTCAAATACTAAAATTGCATCCGAAGTTGGAACAATTGTTATGATAATTCCTATATTTTTAGTTTATTTGGTATTTATAGAATCAATAAGAGAGTTAATATATAAAAAATTTATTTATATAAATTATAAAACTATATATATATTATTTTTTAGATCAAAAATATTTTTTGTTATTATGGGTTTGTTCCCTTAATGTTCAATAGCATTTTTATATTTATCTACTTTAGAATATTTACCTTTTAGTACTAATATTTTTTAATGCTTATAGTATTAAGGAATTGATCTTAATGGATAATTCTGGGAACTAATTGGTCTTATTTTTGCATATTTAATTGTTTATTTATATTTAGATTAAGTTATTCCTAATGAATACGGAGTTTGTAAATCACCTTTTTTCTTTATTACTGAATTAAAAAATTTATTCAAAGGTTTATATATGATAAAATTTTAAAATAAATAAAATAATAAAAAGATAAAAAAACTGAATAAAAAGAAATAACTTAATCTTTTATTGAATATGAATAATTTCATAATAATTAAGATATAACTAAAAATGTAGATTCATCATCTGCTGACTTCCATGAAATTTATCGAAATGAAAAAAATCTAGCACAAACAATAAAAATAAAAAACCTAGTAAAAAAATACGGTTAATTTACTGCAATTGATTAAATCTCAATAAGTCTATATGAATCAAATATATTTTGGTAAATATAAAAATAAAAAATGTTTTATAAAATAATATAAAAATTAATAAATATATATTAATATACATATAAATACATATATACATATATATATATATATATATATATATATATATTTATAATTATATATATTTATTATATTTTTTTTTCTTATTATTTTATTTTATATTTTTATTTTAGAAAATCACAATTTTTTTTTTATTTACTTATTTTTGATATTATCCTTTTTAAAAATAATAATATAAAAAATAAATATATATTTTTATTAATAAAAAATTTAGTTTATTAGGACATAATGGAGCAGGTAAAACAACCACTATATCAGTTTTGACAGGATTATTAAGTAGTACAAGCGGAAAAGTTATAAGTACTATATATATAATTTTTTTAAAAAAAAATAATTATTATATTAGTGTATGGAAAGGATCTTTCAATGGATTTAGATTTCATAAGAAAAAATATAGGTTTATGTACATAAAAAGATTGTCTATATGATGATTTAACTTTTGTTGAACATTTAAGATTTATTGGTAATATAAAAGGAATATAAGGCGAAAAATTAGAAATCTAAATTTAATATATATTAGAAAAGACAAATACACACCAAGAAGCTAATAAACTAGTAAAAGAGCTTTCTGGAGGATAAAACGTAAACTTTCATTAGGCATGGCATTAATAGGCGGTTCAAAAATAATATTTTTGGATGAACCAACATCTGGAATGGATAATTTAAGCAGAAGAGGAATTTGGAAAATATTAGAAAATATAAGAAATGAGAAAAGAACTATAATATTAACAACTCATCATTTAGATGAAGCAGAAGTTCTTGCAGATAGAATTGCTATTATGGCAAAAGGAAAGCTTTTAGCAGTTGGTTCAAGCTAGTTTATAAAAAAAAATTTTGGAGAAGGATATACTTTGAAAATATCAGTACAAGAAGAGCACTTGGAATTATTTAATTAATAAAAATCAAAAATAAAATAAATTGTTGAAAAAAATATTCCAAATGCATAATTAGATAGTTAAAGTTCAAATGATTGTGTTGTTTATTTAATTTCATATTCCGATTAAGATAAATTTACAAAAGTTTTCTAAGATTTAGAACAAATTTAATTTATTAATATTTCATTAGAAATGAATACTTTAGAAGATGCATTTATAAATATTGGAATGGACGAAGAAAAATTCTTACAAAGAAATAAAGTTTTTATTTATTTAATTTTTAAAAATTTTTTTTTATAAATATAATTTTTTAATAAAGTTAAAATCTTAAGGAAATATAGTTATAAATGATGAATTTAATAATTTTAAAAAAATTCATGTCCCACAATGTTTAAACAGACCACCTAAATATTAATTTATTTCATAATTTATAGCTATTTTTATGAGAAGGTTTTATTATACTGTAAGAAATTTAACTAATTGGATATCTTTTACATTGGGATTTGTTTTACTTATAGCAGCTACAATAGTATATTATAATATAATATAATAATATTTATATATATATATATATTTATATATATTTATATATATATAATAATATATATATTTATATTTATATTTTATATATTATTATATTTATTTTTTATATTTATCATTTTATATATTATTTTTTATGTCTTTTTTATTAAAATAAGGTTGTTAAACTTATACCTGTACCTATAGGAATAAATTAAGATTCTTTTTAAATTGGATTTACTTCATTTTTCTTGGTTTTGTCTTATTCATTTAATTCTTCAATTTTTATTACTCTACCTGTTTTAGAACGAGAATTTAATTTAAAATATGCTTTAAATGTTATGGGTTGTAGAGTATAAATATTTATTTTTAATATATTTGTATATTTTTTTAAATACATATGATATATAGGTTTTACCTTATTGGTTTGGTACATTATTGTTTGATGTATTTATTTTTTTATTGACTCTTTTTATTTTTTTTATTGCTTGTTTAATATAAAACTGTAATTATATATTAAATCATTTCGGAATAATATTCTTTATTTTATCCACATTTTGTATTTCATATATTACTTGCGCTTATTTCTTTGGTTTTCTTTTCTAAAAATCAAACAATGCTCTAAAATTTTATCCATTGTTCAGTTATTTTATTATTTATAGTTTACCATGGATATTAGTTGGATTAATTTATTTATTATATAATAATGATTATTTAAGTAAAAATTTAAAAAATAAAAATAATAGAAAATAAAAAAGGTGATGATACATATGTTGGACTAAATGGATTTTGTTAAGTTATATGTTTAATATTTTCTCCTTTATTTAATCTAAATATGTCATTTAATAGTATATCTGGAGATTTTAAAATGTCAGAAAAAGATAAAAAATATTTTCATTTAACAATTTAAAGTACATATGCTTATATAGGATTCAATATTTTAACTGCTTTTATGTATTTCGCTTTAACTTTTATTTTTGAATAAAAAAAATATGGCTTAAAAAATACTTTATAAGATGAAAGTATTTATTTTATTTTAAGATAATTAAATTAAATTTTTATCTTAAAAAAAGGTTAAAAATAATAATTAATAAATACGTTTGAAGATGTATAAGACTCTCTAGTAAAAGAAGAAGTATATAAAGTTAATGATTCATCAGAAGAAAAAATAAGAGTTAATGGTTTGATTAAATAATACGATAGCGGACTAGTTGCAGTAAAAAATATTTAATTCTGTGTAAAACCAGGAGAAATCTTTGGACTTTTGGGACCTAATGGTGCTGGAAAATCAACTACTTTTAGTATTTTGACAAGTTTAATTCCTAAAACATATGGATCAATATAAATAAAAGGTATAGAAGTTGACAAAGGAATAATGTAAATATATCAAGATGTTGGTATATGCCCATAATTTGATTGTCTATGGGAAAGTTTAACACCTCCTGAACATTTATATTTATTTGGAAGAATGAAAGGTTTAACAGGGAATGATTTAAATGAAAGTGTTCAATATTTTTTAGATGTAATAATAAAATATTTTAAATAAAAAAATTAAAAATCAAAAAGACAATGCAATTAACAGATTTTATCAAAAAAAAAGCTGGATAATTAAGTGGAGGAAATAAAAGAAAACTTTGTGTAGCAAATGCCTTAATAGGAGGACCTGATATTTAATTTTTCGATGAACCCTCTACTGGTGTAGATCCTATTGCAAGAAGATTTTTGTGGAATACTTTAAATATGGGAATTAAATTAAGAAACTCAGCTATTTGTATGACAACACATACTATGGAAGAAGTATTTTTTTATTTAAATATATACATTTATATAAATATATTATATAACAGGCTGAATCTTTATGTAATAAAATTGGAATTCTTATAAATGGTTAATTTTATACTATAGGAACTCCTTAATAATTAAGAAGTAAATATGGATAAGGCTATACTATTACTTTTAATATCGAAAAATAAAACAATGAGAAGGTTAAAAAAATACTAGAAGATGTTTTCATAAAGGTAGTATAAGTACATGATAAAAGAGAAGATTATACTGCTTTCTAAATCGATGATAATGTTTTTTCGTTTTTCAAAGCTTTTAATGTTTGTGAAGAAGTTATTAAAAAATAAGGACTTATTAAAGATTTCTCAATTAATTAAAGTTCATTGGAATCTGTGTTTTTTTATTTTAGCAAACAATAAAAATAAAAAGATGATGAACATAATAGTTAATTGAATGTTTTTAATAAAGTCTCCTAAAATGCTATTTAAGATGAAGAATAAAATTAAATTATTAGATAATGAATGATATTTAAATTTATTTTTTATTTTTAAATATATTATATAGTTCTTATAATTTTTAATAAATTAAAAATATTCATATATATTTTTTATGAATTTTATTATATTTATTTTACTAAATATTTAAAAAAATTATATTTAAAATAATTAAAAAAATATAATAAATATTATAGTAAGATAAATAAATTAATTATTTTTTAAAAAAAATAATAATATTAAAAATAATATTTTTTAAATATGTTTTTAACAATTTTATATAAATAAATAAATATATATCAAATTAAAAAAAAAATATTTGTAAGTTATAAATTTTATTGAAAATAAATAAATACTCTTTAAAACAAAAAAAATGGGTCCTTATTTATCTTAACCAATACGTGAGAAAACAACAATAGGCGATGTATCTAATAATAATTTAAAATTCGCATTAGCTGAAATGCAAGGTATGTAACAATAAAAAATAAAAATAATGTAAAAAAAAAGAAAAGAAAAATAAAATAAAATAAAAATAATATGAAAAACAAAATAAAAATATGAATAATTTTAAAAAAATTAAACAAAAAAATAAGGATGGAGAAACAGCATGGAAGATAGTCATATAGCTGATATAAACATTGACGAAGAAACTGCTTTATTTGGAGTTTTCGACGGTCATGGAGGAAAAGAAGTTGCATAATATGTAGAAAAGCATTTTGTAGAAGAGCTTAAAAAGAACACGAATTTTAAGAACAAATAGTTTGATATGGCTTTAAAGGAAACATTTTTAAAAATGGATGAACTTATGCTCACAAAATAAGGAATTTCCGAACTTGTTTAATTTAAAAATCCACTAAGATAGCCTGATAGAGAAGAAGATGTGAATTCGATATATGCAGGCTGTACTGCGAATGTAGCATTAATACACAAAAAGTAATTAATAGTAGCAAATGCAGGAGATTCTCGTACAGTTTTATGTAATAAAGGATAGGCTGTAGAAATGTCTATAGATCACAAACCTGACTAAGTTGATGAAAAAAATAGAATTTAAAAAGCAGGAGGATTCGTTACTGACGGCAGAGTAAATGGAAATCTTAACCTATCAAGAGCATTGGGAGATTTTGAATATAAAAATGCTTCAGGAAATACAAAACCAGAAGATTACATTATTACACCTTGTCCTGAAGTAAAAAAAAGAAATCTTACAGATGATGATAAATTCATGCTTATGGGTTGCGATGGCATATGGGAATGTATGACAAATTAAGAATTAATGAAATTTTGTGGAGAAAGAATTGATAAAGGAATGACTCTTAAAGATATATTAATTGAATTGCTTGATACTATTCTTGCTAAAGACACATAAAGTATTAATTATATAAATAAAATATATAGATTATATATATATAAAATATATATAATATATATATATATATATATATATATTATTTATATATTATTTAATATAAATACACATTAGTATATAATTTTTTATTATATTCTCAATTTAATTATTTTTATTTAATATTTTTTTTATTTTTATTTTTAATCAATAATCTTTGAATTTAAAGATGGAGTCGGATGCGATAACATGACGTGCATATTAGTTTAATTTAAAAATTGAATATTTTTTAAATTTGAATATTTTTAAAATAAAAATTAAATTAAATTTATAATGTATTTTACATTATAACTATTTTAAAATAAGAATTCGATACTTAACACATTTTATTTTTAATTTTAATTTAACATTTATATTTGCTTTATATTCTAAATAAATATTAATTAAATATTTCATTTATATATATTAATTTTCATTTAATTTATTTTAATTGATTAATTTTATAATAATTCAAAAAGATACAAAAGAAATAAAATTATATTTATATTAAAAAATTATATAAAATAAAACATAAGATTTCAAATATAAAAGATAAATTAAATAAATAAAAATATCCTATATAAAAAAAATACAATATTAAATTAATAAAAAATTGTATATTATTTTAAAAATGAAATATTATCATTAAATATAAAAAAAATATTAATAAAATTATTCAAAATAAAATAATATATAATCTATAGATAATATAAATAAAAAAATAATAAATAAATATGATTAAGAATATATATATAAAAATAAAAAATAATTTAAAAATAAAATAAAATTATATTTAGTGTTTATTTTAATTAATATTTAAATTTAAAATAAAAATTATTAATATAAAATTTTTAAAATAATATTAAATATAATAAAATAAAATTAAATAAAATTAAATAAATATAAATAATTATATATATATATAAATAAATATATTATTTATTTATATCTTTATTTATATATATATATTTTATTTTATTTTTAATTTCATATTCAATTTTTTTATATTTTTTTTTTTATAAATTTATATTCTTTATAAATTTTTTATCTTGAAATTTTTTTTAATTATTTACATTTATTATATTTTTATATGTTTCGTCTATAGAATAATTATGACATTAATTTAATATATATTATTTAAATATTTCTTCAAATTTTTATATTACAAATCAAAATTTAAAAACTAATTTACATATATTTTAAGATATAACTATAATTTTTTTTTTTTATTATATATATTTCTTAGAAATTTATTGTTTCATTAATTATTATAATGCTCTTATAATTAATAAAATATTGTTTTAATATTTATAATTAAAATTAGATTCTCCATATGATAATTAAATAATATAAAAAATATAGAATTTTCATAATAATAAGTATATAACTCCTTAAAAAGATATTTAATTAATAGCAGACTTAGCTTGATTCATATAATTATATTTATAATATAAATATTTCTTAATTATATAAAGCATAAATATAAAACTAAATAAATAAATCTAAATCACTAGTATATAAAAATACATTTATTTATTTATAAAATAGTTTTATTTTTTTTAAATGATTAATATAATAAACAAAAAGTTTTAAGTAGAATGGGTTATTACAATAAAAGATTACTAAAATTATCTTTTAAAATAAATTAGATTTTATTATTTTAATAATTTTTGTAGTTTATTTAAGTAGTATTGCTTGGTTTTAATTTGATTATTATTAAATGTAAATTACATATATTTAAAAAATAATTATAGTTGATTAACCATGGTAAACTAAGTATATATTCTTTTTATTTATTAATAACTAATATGACAATTAATTAAAAAAATTGAGTATTTATATTTTATTATTAAAAAGTTTGATATGATGATATTACTTTAATAAATAATTTAGAGATAAAATTTGTTGTCTTGAATATGATTTTAACAGTTTTTTTTTTTTTATTCAATAAATAATATAGGAATAATACTTTAAGAAATAGAAAGCAAAACAAAAAAATTAAAAGTGATATAAATACTTTTTAAAGATATTTAGATAGATAAGGAGTTAATTCAATTTTTAAAGTCTAGTAAAACATCTTTTAATACTTTTATAAAAAGAAAAGCAAGATAGAGAAAAGGATAAGAAAACTTAATTTTAGATACATTTTCAAATAAATTAAAGAGAAGAGATAACATAGAAATAAATAGAAATAAATAGTAAAATATTACTTAACTAAAAGATTTTCATTAATAATTTTTCTATTAGTAATATCGCTAATAATAATGAAAAAGATACCAATTTATCCAAACTAAATAATTTTCAATGAAGAAGATTTGGATGATAATTTAATATAGTTTACCTAAAATGGAAATATAGTAATTTATTAATAAAACATAAATAAGAAACTTTCGTAATAAAATAACTTTCAAACAATGATTTTTTCGGAGAGCTTTTTTCTTCTTCTCAGGACTTTCAAGAAAATCATCTGCTAGAAGTTTAAATTTATTAACTATATATAAAATAAATAGGAATAAATTAATAAAAATATTTTTAAAAAAATAATAAGATTTCGAAAGATTTAAAATGATAGAATAATAAATCATTTTTTAAAAAGATTTAACTTTGTTAAGTTTATATTGTTATGGATGTAAATTATTTAGTCTAAAATTATTCAAATTTATTTTAAGAGAAAATTTTACTATTCCTAACAAAATAAGAAATAATTAAAATGAAATTAATGATCATCTTAATTAAAATAAAAAAAAGTAAACTCTAAACTCTAAATATATAATAAATTAGAATTTATTAGCTACAAATAAATTAAAGTATGGATCTTAATTTAAGGATTCTTAAATTATTGTTTTTTTTGAAAATTATCTTTTATTAGAATCAGAATAATTTTAGTTCAGAAAGTGGTAGTGATTTTTAATCAGAAAATAGTAATTCCAATTCCGATAAGCAAGAATAGTAACAATAATTTCTAATTTGTTCTTAATAAAAGTTAAGTGAATTGGCTATAAGACATATTTCACGTGAAAAAAAAATAAACTAATTTATATTGAAAATAAACAAATTGAGCAAAAAAGAAAAAGAGCTCATAACAAATAAAAAAAAATTATAATAGAAAAAAGAAAAAATCTATAGATATAATTAAAATTGAATAATTCTTATAAAAATGATGAAAACTAAAATTAATCAGAAATTTTCAAAATAATTGTAAATAGTAAATATTAAATATAAAAAGCTAAAAATTAAAAGTAAAAATAAAAACAGTTTAACAAGCAATAAGTATATTAATCAAAAATATATTTATTCTTTATTAAAAAAAAGAAGCTTTTCTTTCTATTTAATAAATAAGAAAAGCTAAAATAATAACTCTAAGTAAAGTTTATAAAGAAAAAGATATTTAGAATTAAAATGATAGGATATTATCAAAAAGTACTAACAGAGAGAATAAAGAATTATTTAAAAATAAACTTTATTAAGAAATATAGAAAAAGATATAAATATTATTATAATAATAAGCTAAATTAATAATATATTATTATTTTTTTTAAATTAAAAATAAAAATTTAATAATAACAAAATTTTATTTTATTATTTTTTGTATAGTTTTTTATTTTTTTCATATAATATTAAAGAACAGAAAAAATATATTATTGACTATTTACTTTTTGATTGGAGTTTATTTAAAAAAATAAAGAAAATACAAATAAATAATTATTATATATATAAAAATTTATGCTAATTCTAATATTTTTATGTAAAATAAAAAATATAGATTTTTGACTATTTGTATATTTTGTAATTAGAAAATACATTTAATTTTTATTATATTTTTATTTCATAAATTTATTAAATAATAATTTTTTGTTTTCAATTTATTATTTATCAATGTATTATATTAATATTTTTATTAACTTAATTACATTTTTTTAATCTTAGGTATTAAGTATATTTTTTTATAACCTAAATCCTAATTTATTGAAGATAATTTGAAACTATTTTATATTTATAATTTATTAATAATAAGATTACTTATATATTTTTTAAATATATATAAATTAAATCTAATTTATTTTATTTTTTATTAAATATTTTTTATATCTTTTTCTTTACTTAAAATATTGAATTAAATTATTATGCGAAAAAAAAATTTAAATATTTTTATTTAATAAAAACTTTTTAGAATACTAGTATTATATAAAATTTTGTTATTAGGACCTTAAGATAGAAAATAAAAACTGTATTAGTTTAATTTATATCATTATTTCAGAATTCACCTATTTTTTTATTTAAAATTGTATACTAGCTAAAATTTTTTATTCACAAACAATAAATATTTTTTATATTTTTTTCTCTATTTAATATTAATTTTTAACTCTCTTATATTTTTTACTTTTGTATAATAAACATATTTATTTTTTAAAATTAAACTTTTATAGAAAAAAAATTAATTAAATTAAATAAAACAAAATTTAATATTTAACTAATTATAAATTTTTAAAACTATGGTTATCTATAATATGTATAGATTTAAATTTATAATATAAAATAATAAACAAATAAATACATTTATATAAAAATAAAAATATTAAAATATATTATAAAATTATAACATGTAATTTAAAAAAATAATTTATTATTTTATATAGATTTATTATTTTATTTTTATTTTTTTAATTTGTATTTTTAGTTGCAATTTTTTATTTTTTTTGTATTTTTTTTTTGATAATCCATTAAAAGAAAGGTGAAATAAATGGTTAGTATATTTTTTATTTATTTATTATATAATTTGAAAAAATACATAAAAAATAAAAAAACAAAATCAACAATAATATATGATTTTTTAGATTTTTTATATTTTTGTTTAGTTTAAAATGATTTTACAGCTTTTGAAATTTCTTGTTTTTCATAATTATTTATAATGAAAAAAGGAGGTCTATATATACCAAAAATCATTTAATAGAATAAGAATATTTAATACAATTAGAGTTTTATTATTAAAAAAGTAATAATCAATATATATAAATTTTCTGGGATTAAACATATTTTATTTATATAAAAAATATGCTTAAAAGATTATTATAAAATCTAAAAAACTATATCACAATTAAATTTGTTTTTAAAATATTCACATTTAATATTTTTTTTAATAAAATACATAAAAAAGTTCATATATATATATATATAATTAATAAATTAATAGTTTTATTTATTTAATAGAATACTGTATATTTATTAATAATTTTTTTAAAAGTAAAATAAACAATAAAATTTAATAAATGTATCTCAAAGTGGTAATCTGATAGATCCTTTCATGAAAGAAAATGGAATATCTGAATGGAATTCATTTGCTAATTATTTTAATCTTTCTTTTCTTTTATAGTCACATAAATAAAAATAATAAGAATTTATTCCATTCATTAAAACTCCGAACCCACAAATTAAAGCCTTTTATAATCAAATAAAAATAAAAATTTAAATTAAAAAAAAATATATATATATACATCTTAAATATCTAAGCCAATAATATTTAAAACCAAAAATACTATCCAAGTTACATTAGAAGCGAGTTGAATAATCCAAAAAAATCTATAATTAAAATCAGATATTTCATGCTTATTTATTTTACATTCAAAAATCCATTAAGTTTAATTATTTTATTTACATTCGGACCACCATCTTAGTGAAATAAGTAATCTTTTTTAAAAAAAATAAAATTAAATATAAAAATTAATTTACCTTCCTGTGATATTTTTTACAACCCAAAAATCTATTGAAATCATAACTATAACAAAACAATTAACTTATAAGGATTCAAAAAAAATAATCAAAATAAAATAAGCCAAAAATGAAAATGCTTTAAATAAAAAATGAACAAAACAAATTCCTGGGTTTGAACTTGCACTAAAATCGAGTTTATCAAGTATAGTATTATTTTAAAATGTTTGTTTTATCATTTATGTTACTTAATTATTTCCTTTATTTAGCTAATCTAGTACAAATTTTTCTAATTCCTACTTGTGATTGTCATTCAAATAAATAGCTGATTATTTCATATTTTATATTAGGATTTATGTCGGATTTTGCATTTTTTTTATTCTTGAGCTTAGTTTTCTTAAATTCCCATTTTATAAAATGTTTTATTTATTTTTTATTATTTATTATTTTTATTTTTATAAAAATAAATATTTATTCTTATATAAAAATTAAATAAATTAAACTATTTTTGATAAAACATAAAAAACATTAACAAACAAAAAATATAAAAAAGATTTTACAAAAAAATATTTATAAACGGAAAAAATATAAAATCATTATTATTTAATCATATTTTATTATTCTTCACAAAATGAATTATTTTCAGAATCCAAACTTTTATTACACCTATCAACAGGATATCCAAGAAAAATAATAAAAGTAGCTATTTTAACGAAAGCGAAAACGAAGAAAATTATCCAAACATCATATAAATAAACTTCATAAATCACAAAAGGAGACAAAGCCCCCATAATTCTTCCTATTCCAGTACAAAGTGCATATCCAATAGATCTATGATAAGTATCATAAGATTCCGATATAAGAGGTTAAGTATTAATAGAAAGCAACCTAGAGAAAAACGATACAAAAAACATTCCTAAGACAACAATACTAGACTTTAAAAAAAATATAAGAATCATACAAAACCCGCCTAAAATTAAAGAGATATTAATAATTCTTAATCTTCCCACATTTTTCATATCAATAATAAAATAAGATAATAAAGGAGCCGGCAGTTCTCCTAAAGTAACTAAAGCTAGTCCCACTAGGCCTCCTCCTTCTTTTTGCATCACAAAAGGCAAAATAAAAGAAATTCCGGAATTAATAAAATCCTTAGAGATAGCCCCAATAGTAAGTCTCCAAGTAAGTTTCCAATTGTTAGTATCTACAAGTCCAAAAAGGATACTTCGGAAAGATTTTATTTATTTAAATTTTTATTTTTGCCATATTTATAATTCCAATTTTTAGTCTTCGTTTAATTTCTCATAAACATTCGGTTAATTAGCTTTTCCCATTAAATCTAAGATATGTACAGCTTCCTCAAATTTTTAAATACTCATTAAATAACGTGGGCTTTCATTTATATAATATAAAGTTCCTATATTCATCAATAAAATAGGAATTGCTTAACAATTGCTATTGCACGCCAGTTTCCACTTTCCAAATCATTCAAGAAAAAAAACATAAGAGTAACAAATATAGCTTTCCTAGTATTACTGTTCCCTATATAACTACTAAAGCTCTTCCTCTTACATGCTTTGGAGTTATTTCCGTTATTATTATTATTCCTATAGGTAAAGTTAAACCTATTATAAATCCATATAGTGCTCTTATGAATATCATTTAAATATAATTTTGTGCAAATGCAGACCATAATACAGTTATCAATTGTATTAAATTTCCTATTACTAATGATTTTCTTCTTCCTATATAATCACATAAGAAACCCGATACTATTGCTCCAGTAAATAATCCTAAATAATATAAAGTTCCTAACAATTCAATTTATTATTTTAACAAATTCCATTCATTTTTTAATATTTGTAATAATATTATCATAAATTATTATTCACTACCATCTATAAAATCTATAAAATTTATTATTGCTAATGACTTATTTTTATTTTTTGTTATATTTAAATTGTATGTATGCATATATTTTTATTATTAATAATGAAAATAAAATATTTTACCATTAATTGATATTACCCAAAGCCTATTTTTAAAGAAAGAAATTCGTCAAAAGGGTTTTAAAATCTTTAAATTGAATTATAGTTTTATTCATTCATTTTTTTTAAAAATGCGTTTTATAATAAAATTTTTAAAATAATATATGAAATAAAAAGGATAATATATTTTATGAATAAATTGTTTATTAAGTTGAATATATAAATTTATAATTAATTTTTAATTTTAATAAATATTTTATATATAAATATTAATTTTTTATAATTATATTATTTCTAGTGTATTTTTAATTTAATTTTTTTATATAATAAAATTCTATAAATATATATTTATAACTAAATAATTATATAATTATCTAATATTTCTATATAATTAATCTTTATAAATATATTTTTAAAAAGATATTAAATAATCTAATAATAGATTTAAAAACTATATTATTATTTAGAATAGTTATAATTTTTTTATAATAAATAAAAATTATTGAATATTTAAAAAAAAATTTACTTGATAAATTAAAATATAAATTTTAAATATAATTAAAAATATAATTAAATATATAATTAAACAAATATTATTTTTTTATTTTCATTTATATATAAAAAATTTATAATTATTTAAATACATATATTTTTATTTTTAATAATTTTGATTTATTAAAAATATTTTATATGTTTTAATAATTTTATAAAATAGATTTTATAATTATGATTATATTTTTAAAATAATTGTTTATATAATTATATAATAAATAAAAAAATATTTATTATTAATAAATAATTAAATATAATATGAATTAATTTTAAAAATATACTTTGTCTAAAATATTAAACTAGAATATAAAAAATTTAAATTTAACAAAAGAAAATTTAATTCTTTAAAATTAAAAGAATAATTTATTCTAATTAAAGGTTAATTACTTGGAAATTTTTTTTCTAGTATATCAAATAATTGATAAGAAAATAAGTTTTATTTAAAAAAAGTTATTTTACCATGACTTTTATATTTTTTAAATATAATAGATATAAATTAATATATGTTCTTTTAGAAATTTATTACACTTAAGAATTGTAATAAATCAATTTTTCATTAGTTAACATTTAATAAAATTTTAGTATATAAGAGATTAGATTATTTATTTATCAAGCATTTAATCAAATGAAAAAAAACTAAAAGCAGATAAAAAAAACTATAGCAACCTAAAACGAGTTAATAGTTAATATTCATACATAAAATTATATTTTGCATAAAATTAACAATAAATAAATAAAATATCCTTAATATTTAAAAAGAAAATATTTCTATTTTAAAATATTATTTTATAGTTTAAGAATGTAAATTCATTATATTGAGGATGTTTTATAAAATATTGAAGATTTATTCAAAGAACTATTGTAATTAAAATTTTAATAATTTAAATTTGCAGGCTTTGAAACTTTTAAATTAAATTTCAGTTGGTATTAATACAAAATTTGAAAAAATATAATTTAATAAATAATCATAAAAATCAAAAATCAAAATAATATTTATTAATAAAAAAGAATAAGTTTATAGTTTATTAAAAATGAAATAACATTATTTTTAAATAGATAGAAAAATAACTTAAAGTTTTAAAGTATTGGTAAATAATAAAATAATAGCAATATTTGAATAGCAGGAAAAATTCAATAATAAAAGTAGTCAAATATTATAAAAAACATATTAAAAAATTAAAACACTATTAAAAAATAAAAAATAAAATGAAAATAAATATATATATTTACATATAAAAAATTAATATATATATATATATATATATTT